GTGTCTGGCCCTTGGTGCCCTCAAGGGGCAGGTCTTATCCATCCTTTTCCAGAAAAACCTTACCTTATAATCTTCTATACCCTTACCTTCGTATCCTTTATCATAACTTTCCTACAGGAAATTGCTCATATCATTCCCCCAATTTGACTTCCTGTGTCACCTTGGGGTCTTAACCTAATGCTCTCTGCTCTTCAGAGACCCCCCCCCCCCCTTGAACTGATCAGAAATATTTGCCTTTTCGGTTGCCATCAAGTCTGTTTTGGTAGCTCTATCTTGTAAAGAGCCTTTTCTTGTTTTGTACAATGATTTGAGACCAAAACCCTCCTTTTTCTCTAAGGTGGTCTATTCTTTTCATCTCAGTAAAGACATCATCATCCCTTTCCTCTGTTCTGCCCCCAAAACATGACAAGAAAATTACATTTTCTAGATGTGGTTAGGGCAGTCTTCTGGCAGCTACAGCCTCCTTTGCAAGACACTGACTTTTTCTTCATTCATTCTGCCTGAAGGTCTTCATAGAGGACACCCTGCTTCTCCCTCCATCATTGCCATGTGGATCAGACAACTAATTTCCAGAGCCTATGCCCTAAAGAAAACCGGTTCCTCCCTTTTCTATCAGAGCCCATTCTACCAGGGCTGTCGGAAGCTTTTCAGCATCAGGCATCTGTATCCCATATTTGCAAAGCTAAGACCAGGTCCTTTGTTTACATGTTTTCAAAGTACTACAAGGTGAATATTTAAAGCTGATGTGAGCTTCTGCTGCAAGGTGTTTCTAGTTATTTCAGTATTTTGTTTGGGTTCCTTAAACCATTGTGATTTTGTGGGCCGGTTGGCAATTATATGTTGCTATGTTGTTGATCTACAGTTATATTGCTTGGGTAAATCTAGAAATGTAAACTTTCCAGAAATTTTGAAGCTTTTACAAATTGAAAAGAGGTTTTGTCAAGGAATTTCTGCTTGGCAAACAGTATGATGGTCGTCAAAAAGCTTTCTGCCAATATGCATTTTCAGTTATTGACAATGCTGATTCAGAAGCAAATATTGCTCTTGCAAGAGCTTGCTCAGTTTTCTCCTGATTTTCAGGTGTAATTTTTCCATAAATTAAGGTATTGTGTAATTTTATGAAGTGGTTTTTTTCCCCTTTCCTTCTAGGATTTCCCATCTCTACGTAAGTCCCATAGTATATACCAGTCCTGTGCCCTGTGCTGTATGAATATGAAAACAGGAACTTTAGCTTATCTGTAAATTCTTTATCTTGGAGTACTGTACAGGACATGGGTATCAAGGTCCTACCTTTCCTCAGGGCTTGTGCTGCTCCATGTGCTGGCATCCATCTTAGGTCTGCAAAGCATTGTGGGATCCTTTATGCTTTCAGCCCTCTGCGGCTCCTCCCAGGAGGTGGCGGCTTATCACATTTAAGTCTGCTGTTTGCAGCTGTCCATTGCATTCGTGTCCTGTCTGTTGCACAGCAGCAAGCTCCTGTTTGGTTAACTCTTTGCTCTCCTGGATACCGACTTGGCTTTGGCTAAGACTCCTCCTGGCTTCTGACCTCGGCTCTGGCGACCATTCTTCCTGGCTTCTGACCTCGGCTCTGGCGACCATTCTTCCTGGCTTCTGACCTCGGCTCTGGCGACCATTCTTCCTGGCTTCTGACCTCGGCTCTGGCGACCATTCCTCCTGGCTTCTGATCCCGGCTCTGGCGACCATTCTTCCTGGCTTCTGACCCCGGCTTTGGCTACGATTCCCGCTGGTTCTCGACTTGATTATCCTGAAAGACGACCTTGGCAGGAGAACGTCTGTCCTACCAAATCATCCGCTGTTGCTGTCGGACTTGCATAGACTTTTGCCTTGTTTCTGTGTAAATAAACCTACCTTTAATCGCACCTCCTTGTGTGTCTGGCTCCTCGCTCCCTGACAATGGGCCCTTCTCTCTGTGCCTTTATCACTCCTTATTGTTTGTTAAAACTGGGGCCTCATGGAGTGGGTAGGGTTATATTGGTATGCTTTAGGGGTGACCCTAGCAAAGGTTTTTGCAAGTGTGCACTCAAGGTAGCAGCATATAACCCATAGTCTATGAATAGAATCTTGTGTCCTGTACTGTACTCCAAGATAAGAAATTTACAGGTTAGTCAAAATTCCTATTTTATGCCTATTCTGTTGAGATCTGTCTACTACCTTTTTATATGTGTCTGGAATATTTTTTATTGTTTTTATAGCTCCTAACCAAGTGAAACTAATTTTATTCTTTCCTTTAGTGCTCTCATAAAAAAAAAATGTAAAAGTGAGCTGGTACAAAAATTCAAAACCTGTGAAAAGAAAAAGCCCCTACGAGCTGTGTCGATAGATTGTCTTGTTAAAACCTCACCCAATGGTGGCAGCGGTGATGAAGTGGACAGTGAACCATCCATTGTAGAATCTGCAAGTCAACAAGCAGAAAAGAGAACCATTAACTTGCTTATCAGTTACAGCAACTCTGGTGCTACACTTTTTCCAAGTGATCCACAAATGAGTAAAAAACGTCAAAAAATGGATAAAGCTGGTGGTAGATCAAAAGGACTATCAAGCTGTTCTACTGAGCCACCAAAGAAAAGAAATATACGAGCTCCTGTAAATACTGGAACCAAGGACACAAAATTAAAAGCAACTAAAAGTCAGTCACAACCTATTGCAGTTATATCTAGAAAAAACACAGTGTTGGAGAAAAACAAACTGGCAGCAAAAAGTGAGGGTATAAAATCGCCACCAGAAAAATATGCCAGGAATATTCAGAGTTCAACTGGCCCAGGAAAGATTCCACCAGCGAAAACAGTAAGAAGAAACATGGCAATGTCAACACCAACTAATAAAAAACAAAACCAATTAATGGGACTAATAAGATATCATCTTCTGTTGACAACATTTCCAAGGTCAAACATCATCATGAAGATCCCCATGTAACTGAGAGGAGGTGGATGAGCACGGAGAGACTCAATAGGGGACTTTTGAAATCTAATATACAAAGACTTGAACGTTGGAAAGAAGATGATAACAGTGACTTTTCTGATAGTGAAAGCTACTATTCTGTAGATTCTCTGTCTTCTGCATATGCCAGTGCCTTAAATGAACAAATGAAACAGGAAGATAAAGAGAGGCAGAAATATAACCAGAGGGATTCAGACAGTGAGGACAGCCAGATGTCACAGGACTCATTGGTGGAAAGAGAAAACAAAAAGGATAGGCATAATAAACGAAGATATAACAGATACAAGACAATTGGGACTCATTCTGACACTTCTAAAAGTTTAACAGAAGATCACAACTCATTTCCTTTAGTTACAACTGGGTCAGTTACTACTGGATTCTCAAAAAGTTTTTCTCTAGACAGTTTGGCTGATGCAGATGAAGTGCCAGATGTGGATTCGTCTGAAGAATTACCAGCAGAGATCTTCTGGAAGCTCCAGAGTCCTAGGTGTTTAAATATGAATGACAATGATCAGAATAATATAGACATCACAACTCCTGGAGAAAATACAGCTCTAGAAAGAAGTCCCTCATTTTACCTTAAGATAAATGACAAAGCTACCATGGGATACAGAGATACCTCAACAATACCTTTGAATGTTCCTGATGCAAAATCCCATCAAATTCACCTTAGTCCACCTGTTTTTAATAGTGACTACACTTTGCATGGATTACCAAATGACAAATGTACTGTAGAACCTGCTGTGGATGCTCTTCATGAAGACTTTTCCTGTCTTGACAATAAGGCTGCTAAAACAGATTCAGACTTCACACACAATGAAGGGACAGAAGTATCTACTAAAAATATTGTTATTGAAAGCAAACCTAAGGCATCCCCTGACATACCAGAAGAATTGAACACACAGCACTGTCAAGTTCTAGATGTTGAGGGAAATCAACCAAGCACTAGTCATATCAAAGTAAAATGTCTTGAAAACCAGAAGCCTATTAATGAATGTATTAATATTGACAATGATTGTGCCATTAGACATTTAGGTGACTTCAATACCTCAGAAGATTTTTCTGATTTTCCAGACTTATCAAACAATTTCATGGAGAGTGAGAAAAATACTCAGAAATCCTTGCTAGACAAAAAGAATGTAGCTCTGGAGCCCATTGCTTTTACCAAAACTGTTGCAAATAAAATACTACAACCATTTTTGGAACCGACAACAACAGATCAAGTCAGCAATAACGATGTCACAGTTTCTTTGAAAACTGATACTAAGAAAGGTCTCAGAATTTCTGTAGAAACAGACAGCCATGAATCTATAGAACCAAAGGAAGTAAATATTAAAGCGAGTATTGAAAAAGGGAATAATGCAGAAGAAAAACTGACAGAGTGTAATAAAAATCTTTCTATATCAACGAATACTTTAAATTTAAATACAGCTGGAAGCACAGTAGCCTTAAAAAGTGCAAACCAGGATATGAAGCAAAATTTCCACTCAAAACACATCTCTAACGATTTGGCATCTGATATTTCTGATGAAGAATGTAAACCTAGAGAGATGTTTGTTTTACATTTAACCCAGGAGAATGGTGAAAGTCCTGACCATACTGATGCCACTATGAAAACCTTTGATCAAAATGTAACACAAGTAGGGTTATCATATTTGCAAACTGACTATATGAATAAACAAACTACAGTTCTTAGTGATAACTGTCCAGAATATAAAAGATTTGGAATTTTACATTCTAATAGTTTAGAGAGTGAAAAAATCCCAAAAAAGGTGACAGGCACTACAATTGTGCTGCAAGCAGAGGACAGACAAATTCATAGTGGCCTTGAGACCACCGATTTGGAATCACAAGTGACAACATACAGTGCAGTTGTAGATCTAAATGAGAACAGAGAGTGCAAGCTGGATACAGAACAACATTTACCTGATAAATATAATATCTATAAAAATAAAGTAGCTGACCCCCTTCAAATAATAATTAATGATGGGCTGTGCAAAACTAAAGCTGTTGACAATGCTGATATTAGCACATCAGTTCTAATGGCCAACCAACCACTGTCAGTTGTGAAAAATATAAATCACACAATGTCTGTTGATCAGAGTGAAACAATAAATTTAGCGCCGCATATTGAAAACCTTGGTATTGGTGATTCTCCTGCTTCTAGAACTGAATATGGGTGTGGCAACAGCCACAAGGACACAAAAAGTAATTTGGTTCTTAGTGGCTTACCCTCTTTTCTTTCCTGCACATCACCAGAGGCTGATATGGAAGTCACCAGAAATTCTCCAGTAATAAACCTCAATGACCTTCCTTCTACTGAGCACTTACTACCAAGGTTGAGTACATTACCTGGTGGAAATATTTCTGAGTACAACAGCCCTAAACATAAGGAAAGCAGAGTAAATGGTTGCTTTAGTAAACATCCTAGTGATCTCCTGTTGAAACATTCAGAAACTGCACTTTCCGACAAGACTTGTGTAATTCAACATAATATTCTTGACATAAATAGTAATGAACAGGGAGAATCTTTGGGTTCTTGTGAAGATAATACAGGGCCGTTATCCAGTCTCAATAATACACAATATGTTTTAACTTACAGTTCATGTGATGAGGCCCTCATTCAAACAAAATCCTGGAAAGAGACAGGGATATTACCAGAAGAGGGAATGCAGAATTTACAATCTTTGTCTGAAGACACCCAGCAGGTGTATGTGTTGAATGCAAAACCCCTGAGACCACATTTTACTAGTGATATCCTTAATTGTAAAGATGATATAGACTATTGTAAATCAAATTTTGAACACCAAAAAGATATATGTCCTCCAGGACAAGCCATCCACACAGATACGAAAAGTTCACAATTGTTTAATAGCAATAAAAATGACCAAGCCTCAGGGATCATTTCAACCCACACAGATCCATTGTTTTGTAATAAAAGTGATAGTGAAGATGCTGAAAATTTTTGCAATGAAATTGCCGATCAGAAGCTGCAGGCCTTAACAGAACTAAGAATAGGAAAGGTGACATCTGAAAGTAAATGTTCACAGAAAGAGAAAACCCATGGAAATTCTGAGAATACCAATGATGATAGAGATGATGGCAAATATGGTGCTTCAAAGAGAAAACCTGAAGATTCATATTTAATTAATAAACAGACTAAGTTAAAGCATGACATAGATGAAAATGATAATACAGATTATGGCAAAGGTGCTTTAAATGTTAAACCTGATAATCCTGTATCAACCACTGAGGATTCTACAACTTTAGGAAGATGTCTTCAGAAACCTATCGTAGACACTGTTACTGGAAATAATGAGCAATCCAATTCTAATGACTCTTTGTGTGATGTTATAAATAATATGCAAGAGAACCATTACTGTGTTGTGCCACCCTTAACACAAAACTTTGGAAGTGCATATCAGATTCTTCCTTATTATGAAGCTATAATGCAAAGTGAACATGTTTTTGAATCCCAATGTAGGAGGGCTAAAGCTGTAAACACTCATTATAAAAATACAGAAAGTTTACCAAACACTTCTGAGCTAGAACAATCGCACTTTGGCTCACAATGTTCACTTGGCTTGAAAAGAATGGTAGAAGATGTCAAGGGTGAAAATCAGGCATTGAGGTCTTTCAGGATGTTGAAGTGTAAAGAAGGAAGTAATTTTTTTAAACCAAAAAATGAGGAATCAGAACTTGGTATCCCACATGGAACAGGAACATATGTCACAAAGAATGAAAGCACACAGGAAGGTTCTACAATATCGGCACCCAAGCTACCGCATGGTTTTCACTCTGATGTTCATTCCTTGGCTGAAACAGATGGCATAATTTATTTTGGTAGGGCTTCTGGGAGACAGGGAAATCTTCAAGAAAGATTTGAGGAGAAGAGCAATCAAATACACCATAATGTAGGAAGGGAAAGTTGCCAAACCAAAGAGCAAAACTTCAGCGTCAAAGTGCAAGAGGAAAACTTGCCTGCACAACAAACACTAAACAAACTTCCAAGTAAGAATACGATTATGCAAAAAAATGAAGGTCTTCAGCAAAGGAAGAATTAGAAGACAAAACTAAGGTTATCTCGTCACAAAACCCTGAAAATACTACTTGCAAATCTGAATCTGCTTACCCTTGTTTAACTTATTCTACAAATGTCTGCACTTTGCCAGCTGCTGCACCATTTGATAACTCTTCTAAGTGTATTTCAAAATCAAATGAACTGTTAAAATGTATCCAGAAAGATTCAAATAAATGTCAGTATCAATTTTCTCAAAGCCAAGAAACACACCAAATTAGTGAAATATCTCCAAGTTGTCAGCCATCCAGTTTTGGACCATGTCAAGACATTGAACCAATGGAGAAAGGAAGTGTAGACCCTGGCTTAGGTCATATGTGTGAAGTGTCTATTTCCACCACTAAGAAATGGCAACATAATCCTAACTCAAAATTAGGTTTGATAATGGATAAAAACACACCTCAACCTATAGAAGTGCTGGACCCCCATGGAGTAAACGTCATATCAACTTGTGCATTAGAAAACTAACTGATCCAGCTTTAACAATGGAATACAGAATTAGAAAAAATGAAGGAATTGGAAACAATGTTTGTGTGACTGAAGCAGACAGTGGAGAATGTCCTTCAGAGATAAATGGATCTGCTGAGATTTCCTCAGGAGAAGATGACACCGAAACATCCAGTTCTTTAGCCTCAAGTGGCCTCACAAGTTTGAAAATCAGATCACCGGAGAGTCTTTCATTATTAAATGAAGGCAAATCAGAAATGTATGGTGCTAATCACACATGTGTCCCTGGTGACATTTCTCACGCTGTAATTTCCAAAATAGACATGTCAACTTGTACCATGTCTAACAAAGCTTACTGTTCTTGTTCTACCCATACACTGTGTGTATGTTTATCACCTACCATGGCTCTTGCTAAATCAGAGTTGACTGAATCTTCAAAGTTCTCTTCTGATGAATCAGCCTCCAGCCTAAGATATGAATCTTCTCCACAAAGATTAGGTTCTGGCATCCAGACTGTGTGTAATGAAGAAATCCATTCAAATATGGAATCAAAGGATTGGACACCACATAATGTAGCACACTGTAAAATAAATTGTATTACTGATCACTGTCAGTCTCCAAACTGTTTTGTAAATGCCCAGGAAAGCATTGCTGGGCATACACATTTTGGGGATGAAGGTACTGATAATAAAGACTGCGTTCCCAGTAAAGTACCATCTACACTCCCCAGCAGTTTATTTCATGACTCATCACAACAAACACAGACATCAGTAGGAGAAATGGGTGAGAATACAGAAGGTCTTCACTTTTCCTCAAGTGACATTAACCCCTTTGTGCACTCTTGGCAGCAGGAAGTTAGTCCTAGGGCTGGGTGGAGGAACTTCTCATTTAACAGTGCCCGTGATGTATCTTGCAGTAAGTTTCAAGCCGCAGCTGATAAATTAATAAGGTGCTCTAGTGTTGATGAAGGGCTCAATTCTCATAGTTCTCCTTTTAATTCACATCTTAGTTCCTATGCAAATGCTAAACCAGCATCCAGCACAATCAGCAGTTTTGGAGGAAATGATTCCAGACCTGATTTAAATTCACTTGATGGTTTTCAAGATCACCTACTGGATGAAACTGTTGCTGTACACACAAGAAATGATACAGAATTTGTTGGGGCAACTGGGTCACAAGTAAGATTTGAAGACTGTTCCCAGCTAGATGAAATAATGATTCTTTATACTTCAGAGTCAGAGACTTGTAATGAAAATGACCAAAGAATATCTTATGAACACAGAACACACACTAAGCCTAGATATCGTAGGACCACCAAGCACCAAAGAAGTAGCACAGATGTGTTATCCTCACGAAAAATGAAGAACCAGAAACCAGTTTCTTGGTCCAATGTGCAGAGCATGTCCATTCATTTATCACAGCTGTTACAAGAAACCTCAGAGCTACTGGGAAATTTGTCTCAACATCACTCTGAAAATTTCCCACTTGATGCTATTAAGTTACAAAAAGATAGTGCAGAGTCACTTGTGAAAAAATCAGTCAAAGACTCTTTTACTCAAACTTATGAAGACAAAGGTATTCAGACAGATAAGACAAAAACAGATATCGCACAGAACTATAGCAAAGAAAATAACAGTTTTCTAAGCCCCTCAGAAATAAGTGTTATTGTAAAGGTAGTTGGAGCTGATTCATCAACTTATATACCAGACAACACTCATTTAACAGGGGCACAGAGTAGTGGTCAAATAACAAATGTTAGGACACAAAGCCTTCCAAACTTACATCGATATGTGCCTGCTAAACCAGCAGATCATGGGATGTCTAAATCACCACATGTACGAGCATCTGTCCCGTTCCTGTCTGCTAGCACTTTTCCACTTTCTTCACCTACAAGTTCTCTTGTGTCATCCATTTTGAATAAAAACTCCGAAGATACTTCTGCTGTAGCAAATAGTCCTTCATCCGAATTTCAAACTCTGAGATGCCACACTGCAATTCAAGGAAACACTCTGATGGTTGATAGAGCTTCATCACCAATTCTAACACTAAGAGCAAGCAAGAAGCCTTTTAATAAACTTGAACTTGAAAATCATTCTAGTGAACAAAACTTTGAGAAAGTATCTTGGCATAGGAAAAGGAGAGAACAAGAAAATTGTAAGCTAGAAGTCACCGGTTCTCAAACAGAAACCGACAGCGAAAGCATTTTTTCATTTGGTCAGGGAAATAAAGAAAATAAATTTGAAGTTGTACATTGTAGCTCTCTCAGAGAATCACCTAAAAGAAGAATAGCAACACATAAAGTTCAGAGATACAAGAGTGAAAACTGCATTCTGCAAAACAAACACTCTCCCATTACCAACCAATTTAGTAGTAACTCTGAGATTTCAGGGTATGGAGACAAGGAAGATCAAAAAGACAATTTTAGATCCACTCAACCCAAAAAAGTAACTGAAGCCATTTTTACTGCTTTGCCACCTTGGGAACGCCCACAATCACTTGAAAATCTCTGTCAGATAGCACATCCTGTGTTGGACAGGCACGCGCAGTCTCTAAAAAGAACTACACAGACAGTATATGGTACTGGTGAGAATGATTTTGCTAGTAGTACCATAACATCACGTAATTCATATGTAAAAAATGAAAACTACCAATATTCACCTTCCCAAGTAAGTGGGTTTGACTTGCAACTGCAGGATGATGGCTCCTCTGTAGTGGAGAGTGAATGCAATACTGACATTCTTCTAGGTCAAGAGCCCACATTGGCAAACAGTCACAGATTACATCATTACAGTTTGCAGGATCTGCCTCTTCATAATAAGTTCAGCAATTGGTCTGGAGTTCAAGGTAGCTCACAGAGAAATGAACAGTTGACAATGAGTTACCCCAATTTGAATATGAAACAGAGCCCAACCTATATGTCTCAGGAAGCGATGGAAAGCCGATCTCGTGAGATTGAGAAACTGCAGCGGGAACGTGCAGAGGTCATGTCTGCAGTACACTTGGAAATGAATCCACAGCCCCTTACTGTACAGCTAGCAGAAGCCAAGCTCAGCTATGGAATTGGAGAAACTGATGCACTACTGAGAGTGATACAGACAGGAAAGATGGAAAGTCAAGATCAGGTTTCAATAAAGAAACAGTTATATGCAAGGTAAGAAGCAGTTTCATGCATCACTTTCACAAAAGTCAAATCTTAAAGCCCCCCCAAAAAAAATGCACAAAGGACATTACTTACCTTCAGTGCTGCTGCATTGTCCATTCTCCAAAATCTTCAATGCCTCCCACCCCTACCGGTACCGGGTAGGATTTAATAGAAGCAAGGGGTTGTGATGAGCACTCATCAAGAGTGCCTGAATATGCACACCCTTTCCACCCAACTCCTGCATTCATAGAAGCCATTACTACAGCTTCCATGAATGGTACAGGATCTATAAATGGGGTTGGGCTTAAGATTGGTAGTTCTGTCCCCTCCATTTATAGGTTCATTCATGCTTGTCACAGCTCCTTAGTTCTATTAACTCCCGCCACACTGAAAGATTACAGCGATGGGTTGGGGGGCATTGGAGGAGGAAGATATCAGCAACAGGAGGCTTTAGCTGTACAAGCACATCTCACCGAAGGGAAGTAATATGTTTTGTGCTGTTTTTTTGTTTTAGGTAAACTTACTTTAACCACCTCAATACCGGACACTTTGAAAAATCGAATTAAATAATTTTTCCTCTTTACTGTTGTGCACTGATGAGGCTGCACTGATGAGGAAGCACTGATGAGGCTGCTCTGATGATCAGGGCGCTGTGTAGCACTTTAAAATACTGTACTCACTGTGCCCCTCTCAGATCTGGCTCTTCCTCCCTCACACGCGGTCTCTGTATGATGAAAGGAAAGCCGATAGCTGGCAAATCAATTGAGTCTGTGTACACTGTGACAGTTGTGATTGGACACAACTGATCACATGGTAAAGGGCCGCTGTGCTTGGCCCTTTACCCCGATCTGTGATTCCCAGTGTCCAGGGCACACTGTGGTCACAGAGCTCTCCTACTGCATGCACATGGGAGGACTTCCAGGGATGTCCTCCCAGAACTGGAGAGCCGCATTGTAGCCGTATATCGTCTATAGTGTGGTGGAGAAGTGGTTAACAAAGCCCCCTTTTATTAAAAAAATAATAATAATTACAGTCAAAGTAAAGCCAAATTAATAAACTACAAAATAACTGTTAAAATTGATCTTTAAGGGGTTGAGCAGTCTCATACATAAGAAGCTGAATGAATATACATATATATATATATATATATATATATATATATATATATATATATATATATATATATATATATATAAGCACACATCTTTACAGGAATTCAGGAATATTACAATATGCACAGTTGTGTTAAGCCTTTTTTACTTTATTGCCACGTTTGCTGTTATGTTTGTCATGTGTCCAAGGGAAATAGATGGCATGTCATTCCACCTGAAAATGCTAGTTGCTGGGGTACCTTTCTGATTCTGACTCCAGTACTTTCTAGGTCACCGACGCCAAACAAATGTTGGCAGCAAGTAAGGTAACAACTTTTGATCTCTATATGGGTTCTGGATTAAAGCTATATAGCATGACAGACAAATATCATTTTCAGGAGGTCAGCAGTAAAAGCTTGTCATTCATTACTCCCTTTTATTTATATAGAAAGTATTAAAGCAGTAGTAAACTTTTAATGAAAAAAAAAAAAATTCTCCCTGCAAGGTAATGTCATTATGAAAGACTTACCTTAGTTACGAAGCCCTCTAGCGGAGCGCTGTCACCACTGACAGGGCTTCCATCTTCACCTGGTCTTCGTTCCGGGTTCAGGGGCTCTAGCCACTTGATTGGCAAAGCCGCGATGACATCACTTTTGCACATGCAGGCAGGCGTCTCGGCCGCAGCACAGAGCTCTGAAGGAACGGCCTTTCCTCCAGGGCGCATGCATTGGAGATGTCATCAGCTGCAGGGACACTGATTATCTCCTAAACGGTGCATGTTTAGGAGATATTCCTCGTACCTACAGGTAATTTTTATTATAAGCTCACCTGTAGGTACAAGTTTACTCCCACTTTACCAGCTAGGAATATGCAGGTACAGGATGTACATTATTAGCAGATGAAACATTCATTTCCTAATACCTCTTTCCATCACTGTCCCTCAAGGCACATGAAAGTGATAGAAAATTTACGCAAGGAAAGAGAAGAGAGATTGCAGAGTTTTAGGAGGAGCCGCAGCCTCAGCCCTCAGAAACAGCTGAGTGCCTCACAAACATCGCTGTCATCATTAAGAGACTCTGATTCGCCCAGCCGGTGCAGAGAATACCTGCAGCAGCTGAGAAGAGACGTTGTGGATAGCACCAGGTATGGCATTGATTAGCTCTCACCAAAAGAAGCCTGACCTGTTTAAAAGTCACATCATTAGTGTATATTGTACAAAAGTTTGAAACATTTGATAAGCTTTAGTCATGATGGAAATGATTGTATTGATGCAGTCATTGTGCTGATACATGAACAAAGGTTATCGTTACTTTTACAAAATCCTTAGCCCTGGCATCAACAGACAAACATGCACATCACAGCGGCAACAGAATTAGTAATGTCTTAACTGTATCTTAGAATTCAGGAACCAAAGAGAAGGGCAGCTCAGTGTCCCTCAGAGATTGAAGCGATGCTGAAGGATTACCAGAAGGCTCGGGAAGAGGCCAGGACTGAGATTGCTAGAGCAAGAGACAAGTTACGTGAGAGGGCAGAGCTAGAGAAGAGACGTCTGCTGCAGAGCTCTTTGCAGAAGGTGAGAATCGAAGAACCAACCCATATGTCTGTCTATTAAACACAGCATTTGTTTCTTCCCGGAGATCAGATTGGAACATGATATAGGATATCATTACAGAAACATATCAGTAAACAATGGAAATAAAATGATATGTATTACTTTTTAGGAGGATACCAAAATGAAGACACTTGTAAGCACCAGCACTTTATTTACCAATTCTAGTCTCAGTCTGTCCTCAGGACCAACATCAGGGTACAACAGTGGCATGACAACCACCCCTGACATGGGCAATAAGAGCACTTCCAAAGAGGCAAAGGTGAGTGTAACGTGCATTACATTTCTGAACCTCTTCTGTATGGCTTGGCCCTATGCAGAGATGCATCGTGAGTTATAGGTCAGATGTCTAGCTTTGGGGGCAACAGTGATTATATGACACTTGTACTCATATATAAACTTCTGTGAGCTGCTACATTACCTTCAGGAATATAATGTAGTATTTTACTTTATGCCCAGCTGGTACTGCCTCAGTATCACATTTTATTGCCTAATTATTATTGTTTTGTGTTTTTTAATTTAAAGAGAAATCTTACCTTGAGGCAGGGTGAGGATGTTACCTAAGCTGGCATCCCCTAAGTGTAGCAAGTTACCTTGACTTTTGGCTGCCTAGATCTTTCCTGTAACTGTAGACACTAAAGGAGCAGTGCAGTGCGTGTGTGTGTGTGTGGGGGGTGTAAGGTTGGCAATAGGTATAAAGAGCCCTACTTTAGTACAGTACATTAATGTAATTTTATGTTACTTAAAGTGTTCCCAAACCCACAACAGTAAAATCAGTCTGTATATGCAGCAGAGCATGATTGTTATACTCACTGTGGAACCTAAGGGGTTAATCCTCTCAATTGTGTAAAAAGGATGTTTGATCCTGTCTTCTCTTAACCTCTCCTTCCACAGATCCCAATCCCATCTGTTGATGGTACAGATCCCTAGCAGGCACTCTACACATGCTCAGTTTAGTGTGTATGGCTAGATAGGGTTTTTTTTGTTCTTTGGAGGGTGCATGTGTTCTGCACCAAATCAGCACTGTCCAGGCAGAGGGTCATGGGTCATGCAGCCTCATAGGACAGTCAGAGGAAAATGAAAATTCCTCCTGCAAGCTTTAACCAGTGCACGGCTGTACACTGCTAGAAATACTGCTGATGAGAAAAGGTATTTAGCAGTTTATATTTACTAAATATAATTGCATTTCCATGTTCCGTGTACTGTGGAAGACCAGATATAGTGAATGCAGGGTTCTGGGTTTAGTAACACTTTAAAAGAGAAGTCTACCCAAACATTTTTTGGGGCTGTTTAGAATTTTTCAGGTTATGGTCATTGTGTTCCATCCGGGTCTGGTGATTGGTCTCATCTGAAAAGGAAGTAATTATTGCAGATGTAAAGAGAGTGTTTTTTTTTTTTTTTTTTTTACTTTTTTTTAGCAATTGTGTTTTGCTGATACACTCTAGGTGATTTCCCTCACATTGATCTCATTTACTGGTTGCACCTGGGACAGGAAATGAACCAATAAATCTGGTTCTCCCTCCCATCCAAGTCATTAAACGGTTAGGTCTATTCCTCTGTTTTCCTCCCTGCCATTTGTATGGCACTGCTGAGTATTGCTGATAGAACTGTTATCTCTTCGAAGTATAAAGGAAGTGAAGAATATTTTGCATTTTCTGCCTGGTGGGGGATCTATGTCTAGATAGTAGCGGAGAGAGCAGGCACTCTGCATAAAAACTATCCATGAAATACTCAGCATTTTCCTGCTTAAAAATGGCAGTGGCACAAATTTAGATGATGGAGTGACCTGTTTTACCACTCTACGTGTATCTCTATATTGATGTTTATTTTTTTTTTTTTTAGCACGTGAATTGAGTCTGAGCTCTGGTTCCATCTGAGGCACTGACAATGCCAAGTGAAGTACTCACAAAGTGGCAGCCTTCTTTAAGTTCTGAAATAAGCAAACCATTGATATATGATATCATTGTTGGAGACATGTATAATTAAAGGATACGTTTATCTTATAGGAAAAAATGATAAATGTACATATTTTTGCAGACAAAAATGTGCATTTATTATGTTTTCCTGCAGGAGTCTGAAAAGCATTGCACTTGTAATCAGTGGATCAGAGGCGCGGTGTCAGGCTTCTGCAGACAAGCTCTACAGCTTTCTTCTTACCGGCTGTCTGTGGAAAGCTGCAGGGTTTGTGAATGAACTGCCAAAGTGTTCATTATCGCTCTCACAGTTCATTCAGAACTACAAGCTGTTAACCGTGGTGTCTGACAGTAGTTGTAGTCTATCCATTCACAGGAAACTGTGAATGAGTGACGCAGCTGTGGGCGGAGCCCTGCACATCCTTGCTGTTTTTGAATTTTGACAGTGGGTGTGGGGAGAAGATCCTTGGCCTGTCACAGGGAAGGAGGGGATGAGGGAGAGGCTGCAGGAGCTGGAACATGTTCCACCCTAAATACAGATGGAACATTCTGAAAGGTGAACATATCTTTTAAAACACTAAAATTCTATGTCAATGTGCTTTTCTTTGTGTCAGACAGATTTTTGTATTCCCATACAAGTCTATGGGAGTGCAAAACCTGTTTGAAACAGGTCAAAAGGAAGTCAGCTGCAGGTCAAATGCACCTGTCAATGCATTGTGAATTATTTCAGAAGCATCTCAGACTGATATCAAACTGATGATATCAACACAAGCCCAAAGCATACAAAAACAGGCCCTTATGCTAACAAAGTACTAACATCCCTGTGAAAATCTTCATGTGTGCTCACTTTTTGGACTCAAAATATTTTTTTTTCTTTATATAGATTTCACCAAAGGGCCTGGACTTAGAACTTGGTTCTGGAAGGGGAAGATCTGCAGTGAGGAAATGTTTTCTTCTGGTCCCCACTCAGAATGCTTCAGTGCCTGGTATGTGACCCACAATACACTGTAAACAATGAGGATGATGTGCAACCTACTGCGGTGTCAGAGTCTGTGAAAGAGTAATACATAACATAAATCTCAGATATGCCCAGGAATAAAGGGTCAGTCATCCCAAAAGTGATATTTTAGTATTTGGTAGATGCTGGAGATTCGCTGTCGAGCTTGGGTATAAATTGAAACAAACCAGACCCAGTACAGCCTAAAAATAAAACCGCAGCTCCGACTGCTATACTCATCCTATCTCTACTGCTGTCCTCTGCAAACTCACCTGGTCACTGAACCAGCTAAGCTTTGTCTTCAAAGGTTGCATGACGTCCAGCATGAATAAACCCACTTCCTGTGAGTCTGAGGTGTCAAGGTTTCACCCAGACCCCCTAACTCCCTCCTTTTAATCAGAGGGGGATTTGTACTAGAATGTATTTTTGTTAGAGGGATTTGGGGGGTGGGTGGATATGTGCTAATAGGGAGGATTGGGAGGATTTATGCTAGCAGGGGAAATTGGGGCAGGATTAGTGCTAGGAGAGTGGATTTTGGAGGTCTTGTGGGGGGGGGGGGGGGGGCTGGATTTAAAGGAGGAAGAGGATTTCTAGATTGTAAGCTCGAAAGAGCAGGGCCCTCGATCCCCTCATGTTTTGCATTGCATTGGTATTGTTCTGTCACATGTTCTGTCTCCCTTTGTAATGTACAGCGTTGAGTGAACTATTGGCGCTTTATAAATACTGTATAATAATAATAATAATTTATGCTCACGGGAAATTTGAGGGGTAGAGGATGTGTTCTAGGAGGGGAGATTTGGGTAGGGAGTGGATTTGAGTTGGGAGGGGGATTTGTACTGGAAAAGGGTAATTTTCTGTTGAGGGAGAATTTTGACTTGCAAGTGGAATTTTTGCTTAGTAGGTAAGTGTAAAGATTAGTGCTTGAATGTTTCTTTTTTTGTTTGGGGGGGGGGCGGGTTTGCTGACACTCAATGCTCATACACTGGGGGGGCACCGTATGGCATCTTCGCCTTTGGCGCTAAATGGTCTTGTCCCTGCATTGCCTGCACCAGTCTTAATAGGGGATTCAGCGTGCTAAAGAACAGACTGTTTATGCTTAGGAAGGGCAGCCTGATTTTAGTAACCTACTGCCCTGATCCTATACAAGGGGAATTCACTAGACATATAAGCAGGGGGTGGGGTGGCCTCAAATCCTGTTAGCAGTGACACACATCAATATGATACAGGTGTAAATAGAACAGCCTTCTGCGTGGGACATGAGGCATGTACAGGGTAGATCATAGAAGTTTGGTTATTTTCCCGGGTTGGACCCTCTTTTGCTTTAAGAACTGCTTAATTATTTGTAGCATAGATTCAATATTGGAAACATTCCTCAAAGATTTTGGTCCATATTCACATGATGGCATCATGCAATTGTTGCAGATTTGTCGGGTGCATATCCATGGTGTGAATCTCCCATTCCACCACATCCAAAAGGTGCTCTATTGGATTGAGATCTGGTGATTGTGGAGGCCATTGGAGTACAGTGAACCTTACTGACATGTTCAAGAAACCAGTGCGAGATTATTTGACCTTTGTTCTGTCTCTCCAATCTAAGCATTGAAAGTGTGATCTCTGTAACTTACAGTTGTGATGAAATAGCGATAATGCCAATCTTAGTTGAATAAACACAGGCAGTGACTCAATCCAGATGACATATTGTAGATCTTGGGAAGTTTATTCCATAAACTGAGAGAATCTTACAACAGTGAACATTGGATAGGTCTAAAGACTCCAAAGACATGCTGGTAGGTTAATTGGCTCCTGTCTAAATTGACCCTAGTATGTGTATGTATGAATGTGAGTTAGGGATCTTAGATTGTACGCCCCTTGAGGGACTGATGTGAATGTACAATATATATATGTGTGTGTGTGTGTAAAGCGCTGCGTAAATGGACGGCGCTATATAAGTTCCTGAAATAAATAAATAAATGTGATCTGCTTCATGACATGAGGCTTGAAGCTGAAATGCCTTACTGGGAAAAGGGGTGGGCTATCTATACAGCAAGAACTAAACCAGAGGAAAGGAAGGAGCAGAGACAAAATCCAAAGAACACGTAAATACATAAGACAGTCATGTGAAACATGACACTCCCCGTCGAAATCTATGATTTCTGATATAACAAACTTTAGTTCAAGTCCAATATAAGTAATGAAGATTCTTTCCAAGAACATCTGCAAAACAAGAAGGAAAGGAAGAACAAAGGAAAACAATGCAAACATTTAGCATAATACTTGCAGATGTTGGTCTCGAAAGTCCATGCTGAGAGATGGAAATCCATATTCAGAGGGGAAGGCAGCAACATGCACTATTCCTTATTACCTCCCTTTAAATCAGGTTGATGACTTGTCTTCCTCTTTGGGCAAAAGAAGTACTAGTTCCTTTATAGGCCTGAAGTAAAGGTGTGCAGAACCTTCTTTCATGGTGGATATAGCCAAGATGTGTCCCTAAATGCAGTAGTAGGTACTGCACGACTGCTGCAGTCAGCAGGGTTGAGGCTAGTGGGAACATAGTGCCATTGTTCAGGCATAGAGAACTTCCTTATGTGTTCCACTCTGTTGCCGACATACACGTAGAACTGACTTGTGCGATTGTGTATATATCCTAGCATTATTTAGTATATATCCTAGCACTATTTTGCACAAAGCTCGAGCCTTGGAGTAGTATGTGCAGGTTTTTGTGTGAGCTTTTGTCTTGCCCATGATAAATCCTACACCCACTTCACCGCTGGGATCCGTAGCGCGAAGATAAGCCACCGCAGTAATGGCTTCGTTGGATGCATCAGAGAAGACCTGCCTGAATCTCTCTTTTGGTGGCATTCTTTAAGGATGCTTGGGTGTAAGAGCATGGTATCTGGAGTTATTCTAATGCTTTTAGAGACTGTTTCCAGGATTCTCACCTTTGTTGTTTTTCCTTGGGTTAGGGGGTATCCCAGTCTGAGCTTTCGGAAGTAAGTTGTCTCAGCAGTATCTTACCCTGAATGGTGAGAGGTGGAATGAAACCTAAGGGATCATAAATGCTGTTCACTGTAGACAAAACTCCTCGCTTTGTGAAGGGCTTGTCACAGGCTGATTTTTGAAATGTGAATGTGTCTTGTTTAACATTCCAAAGCAATCCGAGACTGCGTTGTGTAACAGGTCAGATCCTAGTTGGAATTTCTTCACACTGACAGCATGGTCATCAGAAGAAAAGGCTGTCATGACCTTGTCGCTGTTAGAGATGATTTTGTGAAGTCTGAGGTTTGCAGTGGCAAGCATGTTTTGGGTTCTAGTAAGAAGGTCAATAGCTTCTTCTTCATTGGGCAGAGATTTGAGTCCGTCGTCTACATAGAAATTCCTTTCGAAGAACTGTCTTGCATCAGATCCAAATTCTTTCTCACCCTCTTGAGCTGTTTTCCTCAGTCCATAAATTGCTACAGCAGGACAAGGACTGTTACCGAAAACATGTACCTTCATTCGGTAGTCTATGACTTCATCATTGACATTATTATTGCTGTACCATTGGAACTTGAGGAAGTTTCTGTAGTCCTTCACGAACGATGAAACAGTGGAACATCTGCTGAATGTCAGCCATAACAGCAATTGGCTCTTGTCTGAAGCGAAGCAAAACTCCTATGAGATTGTTGTTCAGATTAGGCCCAGTGAGAAGATTGTCAATGAGGTAGACACTTTCATGATGAGCACTTGAGTCAAAGACCACCCTAATCTGATCAGGCTTGCGAGGATGGTAGACACCAAAACCTGGTAGATACCAACATTCTTCTCTTTCCGGAAGAGGAGGTGCAGGCTCAGCATGATCTCTCTCAAACACCTTCTGCATAAAGTCCACAAAGTGCTTTTTCATCTCAGGCTTCTGGTTCAAACTGCGATTTAAAGAATCAGTGATTCTGCATGTACCCTGTTGTTTGGTAGTCTCTTTCTTGGGGTACGAAATGGTAGAGGTGCTACCCAACTGTTGGAATCATCTTGGTAGAACTCTTTACTCATGGTTTTCAAGAATTCTTTGTCTTCTATTGTGGCTGCCAACTCATTGTCTTTAGTGGTTACCTCAAACACTGTGTTGCCGATGTTGTCATCCCAGAGATTAAGAGCTTTCTTTTTGTCTTGTATGATGGGCCGTTGTGCACCTTTTTCAAACAGTCTTTCTTTCACAATATATTTATGTAGTCGTTGTGCAGAACAAGTTTGTCTATTTGACAGGGCATGTGTTTTAAAGGAAAAGACTGAGTAGGACCTCCTCTCCTTGTGTAGGCAGACATTGCCTATGATGACCCATCCTAGATCCAAACGCTGAGTATATGGTGCATTGTGTCGACTGTTGATTTGGTGACAAACTTTGTGCACCCTTAGAATGTCTCGACCGAGTAATAGCAGGATATCAGCACTTTCATCGAGGACTGGTATTTGGTTGGCTATGTGCTTTAAGTGAGAATGGTGAAAAGCAGCTTCAGGAGTAGGGAACTCCTCTTTGGTGTTTGGAATCTGGTTGCACTCAGTGATAGTGGGCAAAGATATTTCCACATTGTCATTCAAAGGAGTAACTACAAGACCACTGGTTCTTCTACCTAAGACTTCTGTAGTGCCAGAACAAGTGCTTAGAGTATAAGGCAGAGCATCTCCAGTTATGTTCAACAGTTCAAAAAACTGAGTTCTTGCAAGAGATCTGTTACTCTGATCATCCAGAATAGTATACAGTCTTATGGCCTTTTCAGGTTGACCTTTTGGGTTATACATGGACCAAGCATATCTTTGCCCAGGATTTGTCGCAGAATCCTTCTTCACAGACCTCTGTACATGTAGAGACCACTGAGGTGGTAGGTGCTGCTTGATCTGGGCGCTCCCCGCCTTGCTTTGCCTCAGGAAGATTGTGAGCGTAGTAGTGTTGTGCAAATATTGATGAAGAGCTTGCACATGGTCATCACTTTCACACTCTATACATTTGGTGATCGC